TGACCCCTCAGCTCATCCTGCAAGTAATCTTTCTGGAATTCCAAATGCCACCAGACATTTCAGTGGCCCCCAGGTGCCCATCTTGTAAAATGAGGGTATTAAGCCCACCTAACCTCGTTACTTGGCTCAATCTAACCCAACCCTGGCACGGGGAAACGTGGTGTCTTGAAAATCTAGAGTGTAGATGAGACGCCGTGGGACAGCCAAGGGGAATCAGACCGCTCGTCAGCTTGCTGACACTGCCGTGTATTCAGGCAGCCTTCCCACACAGAAAATGCGCGTTGGCTGAATAATGTTAGCACCTGCGTACCAGGGGATGGGTCCGCAGCCGCTGTCCCTTAGTCTGGTGCCGTCTACACGCCTCCTGGCTACACCGGTACACCCGGAGGTTTCGGTGATGGCCTTACTGCCTGGGTGACTTACTACCTCGACAGCGGGGGAATCAGAGGACCACGTGCCCTCGCTACCCTCACTCCCCTATTCCTTCTTCTCAACACAACAGCTGCCTCCCATTGGCTCGTCCCAGGAGATCTCCGACCCCGCCCGAACCGAGGACTCCCAGGAGGCGTGTGTGATTCTGGGTCCGCCTCCGCAGGGAGCATTTTCATTCCCGCCAGAGTGAGTGCCCGTGAGCAGACAACCAGAAATCTCTCCCTAATGTCAGGAGAGTTGGCCGACTCCGCAGCCAAGCAGTTTCAGCTCAGCAAGATGGCTTGACGCGTTGGAGGTGTCCTGCCAGTGCGGCCGCAAACGTCTCCCACTGCACGTGGGTAAATGCCTCTGGGGAAGCAGAAACCCTGTCGCAGAAAATCAGGGAGCAAGCACATTAGCTGGTGCCTTCAGGTCTAAGCTCCCGGTTTAGAGCATCGAACATGTGGACTGAGTTGGTTAAGTTGCTTTTCATTTCACTCAGTGCGCTTCTCGTTGGGCTTCGGACCTGTTGCTTGTTGAACTTGGCCTCAAGTGATTATTCTAGTCTGGGCGCTTCCCCTCTGCTGGGGGACACGACACCCAGCAAAAATCTTTCCTGGCACCAAGGGACAAATGCTACCAAATGTGGAAGACCCTTCGGTCATAAAATAGGAATCGTCCTGGTACCCACCTCACAGGAGGGCCGTGTGAGAGGGTGACTGTGAACAAGGACAGCGCGCAGTGCCTGGCACGGAGCCAGCCTTCGATGAAGGTCATGGCCCCAGCCCTCTCTCTGCCTAAAGGAAAGGCAGGCCACAGAGCACATCTGTGCAAAACGATTCCTCAGCATCACTCGGTGCTGCCTGACCCGACCCGGCTACTGGTGTGGTCTGTCTCTCCAACGTCAGCGGAGGCTCTGCTGCAGCCGGGAGCCCGGTCTGTTCCCATTACCACTTGCTCTCCAGCACGCAGACCAATGCTGTGCCATGTTCACCCTCTCAGTGTTTAGTGAAAATAAATAAATACTGGAGGACCGAAAGGCTGAATACTTGTGTGTGGGGGGTATTGCATTATTTTAATGGAGCTTTACCGTAATGTTGCAGGCACCCTGGGGTGGATGAAGGCCCGGAGGGGCTGCTGGAAATGTCCGGTGAAGAGTTAAAATGGGCATCAAGCTCACCAAAAGTGTTGCTTTCATTGAAAGTGTTTTTGGAGAACTCCGTGATTATTACTGCCACAAGTCCAGATTCACTCATTTATTCATTTCTTTTCAGAGTTGTAGGGACTTTCCTTGAGCCTCGTTATCACCCCGTGTCTCGTTTAGTTAGAGCCGTGGACACTTTGCCTGGTCACTTCATTCTGACGACTGAGGAGAGACAATGTCTGATAGAGCTACACTGCAATATCCCACTTGGCCAGCAGGTGTCACTGTCTAATATGGGATCTTGCATGAAACTCACACAAGTTTTAAGGCCAAATTGCCTATGAAACAAAGCCGCGTCCGAATTCCTTTCTGTAACATAAGGGCTACTCTGCTTCAGTTTCACTCCATGAGATAAGAAAACCTTACGTGAGAGATGCAGGCTGGGCCTAAATTTTATTGATACTCTTCAGTGTTTTTTTCTGTCCTGGTGGATCTTGCCACACTTCTGGGTTAACAGATCCCATGCTTCTCTAGGAAACCTCTTTTTATTATTATCTATAATAACAAATAAAATGTGTCTATGATCTTGAAATTCCTCAAAACCCTCTGATTTCATTCTCACACAATCCCCTGCATGTGGCGTACTCAATACTTGTTGAATGATTGCCCCCTTATCACGACCACCCCCCCCCCCCCCAAAATTCTGGGAAATAAGTAGAGCTACTCTCCAGAGGAGGAAGCGGAGTCTCAGAGAGGTTAAGCAACTTGCTCAAGGTCACACAGCTGGTGAATGGCAGAGCTGGGGTTTGGGTTAGGCTTGTCTAGTTCCAAATCCCTTGCTCATTCACTCCAATCGACAAAGGGACTTGGGGAAGATGGAGTCCCTGACACTGAGGAAGGAAGCAGGCTTCTGCTCCACGGGCCCGGAGGGTGCCCAGGACATCTCTGGACAGACTTTTCAACACCAGGAAAAGCAGCTCATGTTCATGGGCTCTCTTCTCATTTCTCCCTGTCATTTTCCTGAGGCAGATTAGAGACCCGAGCAAACTGTACTGATGTAAGTAATGAAATGTGTGTGGGGGCGGGGGGTGGGGGTGAGGGGGGGTTGCACCACCAGGATCCAAGAGTCACCCTGCTTCGCCCTCACCCCTGTGGAACAGAGACACTGTACTTAGTTGAAGACTTGAGTCAGCTTGCACATTCCTGGATGGTGTTTATCAGCTGATGTCACCATATTGTAAGATTATATATCTTTTAAACAAACAATAGTATCAGCACTGATAGGATGAGGGCTCAGGGACACAGTCTGGTCCTCGCTATTGCTCAATGCTGCTCCAGGCCACCGGGGTCTCTACTGCAGGACTGGCTTCCTGCATTATCCGGCCCACCTGCCCGGTGTCCTGAAGGAGGAAAGGAAGGCCCACTCCCCAGGGCTTCCTCTGGGAAATTTAGGTCAGCGGGACCTAATTACCCGAGTGGAGCAGAGCTGGGATTTCAAGATTAATGCTGCAGGGGGGTGAGGTGGGAGCACTAAGGACCTCAAACTGGGAGCCGTCTGTCATGGTTCCCATCAAAGGTGGGACCTCTGGACCCAAAGGAACAGACTCTGCCCCTTGAATCACGTCTGTGCAGCCTGCTCCCATCTGTCCTGTGATGTGTCCCCAGGATAAGAAGAGAAGCCACCCCACGCGAGGACAGCACCCAGTGAGGGGCACGCACTCCATGCATAGCAACACAGGGAGCATGGTTACCCCTTCCAGGGTGAGAAATGAAGCACAGAGGGCCTGGTGCTTCCTCAAGACTAGACTCTGGGATGTAGCAAGCAACCTGGGAAGAATGGCCCCCAACCGCTGTCCTGGGCTTCCACAGCGCTCCACCGCTCCACCGTGCCAGAAGGCCCTGGGATGAGGCACCCTTCTCAAATTACACAGTGACTGCAGGGAGGCACCCCTGGGTTGCTGACAGTGGCTGCCCACCTGACTAGCCCAGAACACCTGAACCAGGTGTGTCAGCTGAGCAGCCAGAATGACTGCTCAGGCCCCTCTCCCCATGGCAGCCAGTTGAGCCACAGTCTTTTAAAAATATTTTTTATTTATTTTAAGAGAGGGAACGGGATGGAGAAAGAGAGGGAGAGAAACATCAATGTGTGGTTGCCTCTCAAGCGCCCCCTACTGGGGGCCTGGGCCCACAACCCAGGTATGTGCCCTGACTGGGAATAGAACTAGCCACCCCTTGGTTCCAAGTCCAGTGCTCCATCCATTGAGACACACCAGCCAGGGCATTTTTTTTAAAAATTCAATTAAAGCAAGACTGATTTACAGCACAGTGAGGTGAGAAAACTTTGAACTTGGGAAACTGACAGAGTCCAGTTGGGTTCCAAGCTCTGCTAGGGAAGGGCCTCTGGCCATTTACTGCTTCCTCCTCTTTACAATGAGTTAAACAGTCCTGCCCTTACAGGTGCTGTTGAAGATGAAGTAACTAGAAGCCACATTGTTTATAGCAACTTCTCCAATAATGCTAATGCCCCATTCCTTTCAATGGGCCCTACACACAGCGAGGGGCGGAGGAATGTTCGATTTTGTTCTTAAAACAGTAATTTCTTCAAAACCTTCCCCGTTCTAGGGTATGAAGTGGCTGCTATGCAGGGGGTTTGGGGAGGGAAGTTCCTTTCATGAGCCAGAGCCACAGCACGCTGTATGAAAGAAGTCCTCAGGGAGGGGACATCCACTCAGGCATTCATTCATCCGCGGCCGACTTGCCGTACGCCTACAGCCATCAGGCGCTGGGCCCTGGGGTCTGAGACTCCGGAGACCCTCGCCCCTTGTGGGTACCGACGCGGAAATGTGTGGGGAAGTGGGGGTGGGGGCGCCGAAGCAGGGCTCGAGAGTCCCTGGCTTATCGGCCGGCCCGCAGGCTCCTCTCCTGTGCCCGAGAATTACGGAACTTTAAACTGCTGGGAATTTCAGACGAGGCAAGGAAGGCCTTGCTCCGGGATTTCTGAAACAACCCTCTCCCAAGAGATTTTAAAAATTATTATTAGTAAGCCCCTCACCCCCTTCTCCCGGGGCCTGGCACTGCCGCGGCGGCCCTGCGGGTGTCGCAACCCGGGTCTCTGGCCCAGCGGAGGCCGCCGCGCGTTTCCCAAAGACGCTCCCGGAGGACCGACGCCTCGGCGCCGCCCCGCGCGCCCGCTCAGCCATGGCCTCCAGCGGCCCGGAGGGAGGCCTTCGGGGGGGGCGAACTGGGGACCGCGGCGGGGGGCGGCCGGGCGGGCGCGGGATGCACGGGGCGCTGTCGGGTCGGGGCTGGGGCCGCCCCGCGTCCGGAGACCCCCCGAGCGCCCCAACCGTGCGCAGCTGCCCGCGCGCTCGAGCCCCGGGGCGGGGCGGGGCGGGGCTAGGGCGGGATCTCGTCCGTCCGGCCCGGCCCCCGGCGCTTTTCTCGTTTTTCACTTTAAATCCTTGGGTTGCTTTTCTTCTTTGCACAGAAGTCGCGCTCGGGCAGCCCGCGCGCTTGCAGCAGGAACCAGGCTCCAGGCGCTGGCGCCGGGGCCGCGAGGAGGAGGCGACTTCGCTCCCTGCGGCGGGCGCCCCGAGCCTCTCGGCCCCGGAGAGCGGGCGGCGGCAGCGGCCTCCCTGGCGCGGTAGGCAGGGCCGGGCGCGGGAACCGGGTGGCTGCGGGGCCGGGCGGGGTGGGCGCGAGGGTCGCGGCACCCGGGGACCGAGCGGTTGGGAGCGGGGCTGGCGCTGGGGACCGGTGGGGTCCCGACTGGGGACCGTAGGGGGCGCGAGGCGCTTTCTCTCGCCGCGGGTCCCGGGAGATGGGGTCGGGCGCCGCCCAGCGCCGCCGCCGCTTCTGCGGTTGCAAGTGCGGGCTGCTCGCGGCGTCCATCGGCCCCACCTGCGGGGGCGGACGGGGCAGGGGTCCCAGCGCCGCGACAGCCTTTGCGCCCGAGGTTGAGGCTCCGCAGCTGCAGATCAAGCGAAGGCGCCTGGGGCGCGCGGCGGCCCGCGCCGACTTCTAACTGTCGGGGTGCCCCAGGGCCTCCGGTCCCGGGACGCGACAGTCCCCGCGGCAGAGGCGGGAGCCCCGACCAGCCCCTCCCGCTCCGCGAAGTTAGTTTCGCTTTTCCCGCCAGTCGGGGCCCGCAGTTGCAACACGGCCGGTCTGGCCCCCTCGGTGTTGCCCCGCCCGGCCGGTAGCGCCTCCCCCGGGGAGCCCGCCGGGCGACACCCGAGCGGCGCCACCCTTCCCTCCTCCCCGGAGCCACTGCGGCTTCTCCCGGCAACCAAGGGAGAGCCGAGTGTTATGTCAGGAAATCAATCAAAACGGAAAAACCTGAGCAGCCTGGTCGGTCGGTGGAACCGTGGGATCCCTCTGCCCCCGAGTGTGTGCAGGGACTTGGTAATGGTGCTGTTCAAGTTCACGGCAAAGTCTCCTCGGAATGTTAACGCCGTCACTCTACGAGTGGTGTATATGAGTGAGGGTGGTGTGTGCCTGAGTGTGTGATGTCTGTGTGAATGTGTCTCTTGCACCTGTCTGTGTGGGTGTGTGAATAGGTGTGTAAATGTGCGTGAGAGTGCATATGTGTGTCTGAGGCATGAGTGTTTCTGTGTGCCTGAATGCATCCGTGTCTGTGTGAGTGTGTCTGTGCATTTGTGTGCATGTGTCTGTGGGTGTCCGAGTGCATCTGTGTGGGGTGACAGTGTGCCGTCTACGGTCACCTTGCAGTGGCACCTCTGGTTCCTGACTTCGGGCTGTGCCAGGTCCCACGCTCTGGGCCGGGGGAGCCCCGCTGGTGCCGGCCGGGGAGGGTGCAGGCAGTTCTCCCTCCCTCTCTCTCTTTCTCTGAAAATGAACTAAACTGTGTGGTGTAGGGGTGAGTTGGCAGGGGCTGCTTCCTGAGTGAGTAATATTTAATTAAACACTCCAGCCGGTAGCATCAGAAACTGATCATGAGTGTGCTTTAACAGGTGTTGCTGGTGAAAGTGCCATCCCAGTGACTAGAGCTTGGTGTCCTGGGAAGAGCACACTCTCCTGGGGTGGGGGAGGGGAACAGCAATCGAGGAAGGGGGCGGCTGCCCCTCCCTTCCCTGCCCCTTCCCTTCCTGGCACTCCTACTCTGGATGGTCGGAGAGCTGGATTCAGCTTCAGGGGCACAGGCTGGTTTCTTCCCTGGGAAAAGTCAAGCAGCCGAGGGAGCCCCACCTCACTTCCAGGGTGTCTTTCCCAACAAAGGCCCAGAGAGGGGCGCTGACCTACCCGAAGTGCACAGCCAGGGCTCCAGAACGCCAGCTGTTGTCAGTGGCTCCTGCCCCTGGTGTCGAGGTCACGGGCCAGGCACTCGGGCGGCCACAGCTGTAGAGCGATGGGCTGGATTGGATCATGTTAAGCACGTCTCTCGTTTCCTCCCTGCTTTTTCTTCCGCAGGGAGTGCTTTACCCAGTAGACGGAGGGAGAGAGGGGGAGAGAGGACCTGAGTGTGCACGGATCTGTCTCTAACTTGAGACAGATCTTCCTTTTCTTTCCCAGGGAAGCAGAGGCAAAAAGACAGTGACACATCAACTGCAGTGGCTCTGACAGCCATGAGCAGGGACACACGTGGCTTCAGGGAGGTTGGGGGTCGGGGTCCCAACGCTCTTAGGAAAGAGAGGTCCTGCCAGGGGCTCCCAGGGATGTCACTGTGGAGCTGGGTGAGGCTGCGGTCCTCAGGCCGCTGGAGCAAGGCTGAAGCCACCCTGCCCTGGGCTCTCCAGGGCCACTGCTAATGCTCGAACGCCCCTTGGGGGGTCAGCACCAATGCCAATTTCTCCTGTGATCAGCGGTAGGAGGATCGCAGTCCACTGGGTGGAGGCCAGCGCTGGCCGCTGCTCACCAAGGATGATGGACGCTCTCCTTCCTTTGCACTGCCGGGTCCCTGGCCTCTACCCTGGCTTCTGGGTGTGCAAAGGTGTGCCTGCTGATCCATTTTCACAGTGAGCCAAACCTCTGATCCCTGTGGTGTTCACAAGTTTAGTTTGGGAATTTCACACCAGTTCTTCTCAAGAAATAGGTTGTGGTATGTGTGACTCAATTTATCTTTTGTTCCTGAAAAGTTGGAGAATGAGCATCTTTATCGTGCCAAAGTACAGGGTAGGGCAGGTGTGTCTGTGTCTGCCTTGGGCACTTAACCCTGTCCTTCCCCACGAGCCCAGCCAACAAAATACGGCCTTAAAGGTAGGCACTTCTAGCTTGGACTTTCAACCGCCCCAGTTACCTGATAGTGTCCCTCCCACCTCTGGGTGAAAGTCCACTCCTAGCCAGGTGCCAGACACTGTGTGGCCAAGAGCTTCCTGGCCGTGACCTCGTTTGAGGATGAAGATGGTGATGGTGGTGGTGGTGGTGGTGATAATGATGGCAGGACTAGTTACAGCTTGTACTACTAGTACCGGGCTGTGAAATGAGTCCTCGACCCATTCAGCCTTGTTTTCTACAAAGAGCCCCGAGCACCAGTGGCCTCTCCCGCCGTCCACCTGCCTCTGAGGCTGGAACAGCCCATGACTCGGCCACAGTCCCGCCTCCACTCCCCAGGGGTGGAGCGGAACTCTCCGATCCTGGCGCCCAAGTGCTTGACTGGCACAGTGAGTGTGCCACTGCCGTTGGCTTCGCCTTTTTTTGAAAGAAGCACATAATTTTTTAAATGAAAAATATTATTATGGACAGTTTTAAGTTGAGAGAAGAATATATAAGGTTCTCTTGTCAACTTCAAGTGTCTGTGCACACATGGGTGCACACTCAGGCACACACATGCACCCAGACACGTGTGTGCACACAGGCATACACACATGTGCACCAAGGCACATGTGCATGCACACTCAGGCACACATGTGTACACACTCAGACTGTGTTGTTAGGAAGCCGATCGCCCACTGGTGTCCAGCCATCTGTAACAACCCCCTGAGAAGCATTTAAGGGGAGCGTCGAGTCTCAGAGAGGGGCCTGTGACCCCCTGGGTGGCATATCAGGATAAGCGCACTCTTCCCGACACGGAGTTGAGGGACCTGGCTTTGAGGAGGGAAGGCCCGTTGGGCATCTGTCTTGTTGCCCCTCTGCATCCCCCTTGCCTGATAGCCTTTGAAAAGCTTCTCACTTGTTTCATATTTTAAAAGTCCCGTCGGTTACTTGACAAATGGTGGCGTCTGCTGGTCACAGCACACACCGGGTCAGCCACAGGCCCCCACGTTCGTCGGGGCACAACCTGGCTTTGCCCCCGCTCTGCTGATGTGGGTCAGGGCTGGGTGGCAAGGGACGTGGAAATGGCTTGTCACAGGCTCTGGGCCCGACTGACCTAAACTCCAGCTTCACTGGCTTGAATTCGCCGTCGGGGCAATGGGTGGAGGAGCATGGGAGCGTCCACAGCTTGGGGGCACTCTGGGAAAGCGAGGGAGGCAGGGTCAAGGGCGCATGGGATGGAAACAGCACTCTGAGTGGTCATCTAGGGTCTGCCTGGGTCTGGACGGCTGCTGGGCCTGTGTTTGGGCCTCTGATCATTGACACATTTCCTCGTGTTACTTCGAGTGTCTCCTGCCGGCTGGGACAGACTGGTGCTGCTTGCAAGGTGGGTTCAGCAGGTGTGGCTGGTAATCAGTTGGATGTGGGTGTGAAGAAGGGTGACCAAGTGAGGATGTCCTTACGTTCCCTGCTAGGGTGGGGGGTCACAGTGGATGGTGACCCCCTAGAGAGGGGTGGGACAAGGGGCACGGCGGTGCCCTGAACCTGTCCAGGTGGAAATGGTTTATGTGATGCGTCCGGACCACAGTGAGGCCTGGGCCTCGGGGAGAGAGGCCTGGGCTGGAGACAGGGACCTGCTTTCACAGCGGGCTATCGCCATCAGCCGCAGAGCCTTTGGCACGAGGTGTGCTGTGCCCAGGGGAGGGCCCCTCATTCCCACCACTGTCACCGGGAGACTTCTGCTCCAGTGTCCTCAGGCCGAGTGCTGCGGCCCGGCCTGCCTGTTTGGGGACAGTAGACCTCTGATGAGAGGGGTGTGTGCAGGGGGTCTCCATGGCGGGCACCAAGGTGTCCGAGAGCCACCTGGGAAGGTTCTCTGGTTTAGGGGTCTTGTACTCCCCTCTCTCTAAGATTGCAGTACCACAGTTACCATTGTAACCATTTGTAAGCATGTAGTTCGGGGGCCTGAAGTACATTCGCAGGGCAGAGCATCGCCACCGTCCGTCTCCAGGATGCCTCATCTTGAGAAACAGAGTCTCTGACCCCCACTCTGCACCCCCAGCCCCTGGCATCCACCTCTGTGTCCTTTCTGTGTCTGTGCATGGGACGACTTGAGGTCCCCGGGAGAAGCGGCATCACACAGGTTTGCTTCCGTGACTGGCGTGGTTCCCTCCGCACGGCACCGCCATCGGGTTGTCGAGGGCACCAGGACGTCCTTCCTTGTTAAGCCTGGGTGACATTCCACGGTGTGGGTGGACCGCGTGGAGGTCCTCCGTTCCTCCACCCGTGGGCACTTGGTCTCTGGTTTTTTATCACGGTCCCTCAGTTACGGGCCCCCGGGACAGGCCTCAGCTTGTGCTTTGGGGTGTTTGTGGGGCTGAAGGGGCTCTGATGGTGGACTTTGTGGGCCCCTGCACTGCCCTGCGGTGACCG